TTCCTGTGGATGAGAGAAAGAGAGAAAAAAAAAAATAAGGTGAAGAAGAAGAGAAAGAAGAAAGCATCGCCGGGAAGAAAACGTCGCCAAAGATGTATGACTACGACGACGACGCTGCCGCGAGTAAATTGTAATCGCACCGCTTCTTCCGAGTGCACATGCATGACTGCAACCGTGCATTCGTGACAAAGTGCCCCTCCGATACATGCGCGCTCGCGAAAGAATGTGCACTCGTGGATAATTTTATCCGCGGCGAAAAGCGACTTTAATAGTGACGCCATACAATACATATATATATATTCAAGTCTTTATTCCATCCTCGATATATCGTTCGTATTTACGGATAATTCCATAAGCGCAAGCGCACTTTTAATAGCGATTCATTCAATCTCGTACAGTGGAGAGATTTCTCGTGGAAAGATATATTTTCCTGAATCCCTCGCTGTTTTTCCTGTCGGATCTCTCCGCGGGCAATTTCGCCGGGTTCGCTAATTAACTTTTAACAGGAACAAATAGATAACGCGCAGTCGGGTTATAAGCTAAACGACCTCGTTTTTCCCAGGAACGCATGAAGAATTATTTTTCTATCCAAGAGAATCAAGGAAAAATACATAAATAAATATTAACTTTAACTCTTTCCTCATTCCATACACGAATAATTACCGTGTACTATAACTTTATCAAGTCTTTGAAATAAATTTTTAAAGATTAATGTTTTAAATATAAATTAAATTAAAAAATTTAAACTTTTTGTAGACTATACTTTTTGAAATTACCGTAAAATAAGGTAAATTAAAAAAAATATTTAGATAGCACGCATATTAAAAATCAAGTCATAACACGTTTAAAAATACCTTTTTTTAAGGTATCTTATTGTTAAAGACAATTACCATCCACACAAATTTTTGTATGCCTACTGTTTAAATATTATTAAAATTTGGATCAAAGTTACTCCATTTTACTATCTCCAGTCACTCTCTCTCTCTCTCTCTCTCTCTCTCTCTCTCTCTCTCTCTCTCTATTTTTATTAGTTTTGTATAAAAATCACTATACATTGTAAACAACAATTAGTTTGTAAACTGATATAGGTCTTAACCTGATATCTTGTCTTAACGCTTGAAAGGATTTTCATCCAAAAGCGCTCAATAAACGGTGATATTTATCTATCTATCTCTCTCTTTTCTTTATAAAATATACGTAATACATTGGATACACCAGGAGAAGACAATGCTAAAGAGCGAAATAACTCACGAATACTATCCGCAAACTGTCGTTAATTATCGTTGTTCGAATGTCAGGCAATGCGAGAGAGTACGATTGTACTTTCGCTTATTGCCCGCGAAATGTACATTGATCATCCGCGGAACGGGTGAGGTGAGGCGATTAATCAGACCACGATAGACGTCGCGAGGATACCTTCTCGGTAAAGTCGATGCCGCAGACATCGCCACTAACGAAACACGTGTCAGCGCGCGTTAAGTCGCAAACCCCCAGAGAACCAGTGTGACACCCTCGTTAATCACCAGCATGTCGAGCGTGATGGATTAAAATCAGCGACGCATCCCTATGTGCCACTTTCTTTCTTCGCGAATCATTTTCCCCTTCGATCAGACGGTCCCAAAGGTACAAGTTTTTGCGGATGTGAGTTACGCTAACATTATACGAGTCACTAGCTGAAATCTTTTTATGTTTACTCTTTGAAAAAGTATATAAAAAGTTTTTCAGAATAAATAGCTGTTTTACTTCTGAGAAAGAATTTTGTTAATATTCCAAATTTTAGTGAAAAAAATCTTGAGTTTAATTTAAAAATGTGTAAAGATAAAAATGTACGCCAAATATTAAAAATATATCTAAGTATAATATAGCCTTTGCATTTTCATATAGCTATTTAATATCAGCCGTCTGCTATGTAATATCGCTTTTCTATTAAATTTGTTAATTACTATTTCAAAAGAAAAAGGTAATTTTATAGGCAATTTCTGTAAAATCTTTTCTTATTCAGCAACTTTCTCAGAAATTTTATTCTCTATTCTCATAAATTATCAATCGACCCTAACATTTCCTTCTCTGTGATCACAGAGATGCCTCCTACATGTTAGCTCGCATTAAAGTATCGAAGGGCGCATAAAAATAACTACGGCATTATCGTCAATGACATATTGACGAGGAAAAGTACACGACGTGGATGCCTATGGTCTAGAATTATTATTAGCCCTGCGACTATTGTTGGAATTACATTGTTTTACGCTAAGGATTTATGTTATAAGAGAGAATAGTGATGAGGAAGTTAGTGAATCAATTGTTGAGACATAAGATAATATTAGTTCAGTGAGATAACTCTCGTGATCAGATATTTCATAAATAAACATACATCACGTGTTATGTTACCAAACCTATTAGATCTTTTAAATATTTAAAAAACCTTAAATTAACAACGTAACGAACAACCGTATCTCCATCGTCGAAAATAATTATCAATGTAACAATAGTGAGCTATAAAACATAAGTACAAGGCAATATCTCAGGAATCCACTTATACTTCGTCTTCGAAATACTGCGAGAACGGCATTCGGAATTTGGGAAGAATATCTTGGCGGAATGGGAACTTACTGCGTTTTCATATTTCTGGCTCTGGGATAACTCTTAGATTCTTTATCCTCGAGCATCCGCGTAATGTCTAAGATTGATGCGTAAGATATACTGGGAGGGGAAAGCATATTTCGAGAAAATGAGCGAGCGAGAAAATAGGAAATCGTCCGAAAAGCCACACGAAGAAAGCTGGCGCCGCGCGGCGCTTCCGTTATCAGACAATTGAAATTTCCGACAAGTGATAAACATCGCAAATCGTTTTCCGTAATAAATTGACAATCGACAGAGAGCTGCCAAAATTCCTTCTTTTACTAGCTGGAATTATTTTCTCCCTGAGGCAGTGAAAAAACTCGATTTATCCACATTGTTCGAAGAGAGAGAATCTCTTTACGCGTAGCTACAAAGAATTGGCGAAAAAATAATACGAAACAAGAATGGAAGATGACACAAATAAGCCGACTTCGAGTAATAAATGGCCGTGATGAATAATAACTCGGTTATTGAAAGAAAATTCCAGTCGTAGTTTCCCAACTCGCAATATTAGTCTAGTTCTCGGATAAGATCCTTCCTTCGTTTCTTCTCCGAGAAGACTCGCCTCCTTTCCCTCTCACCGACCAGTTTACTATGCTTTCTTTATTCCGCAAAGCCACGTCTGCATAATGGTTATTCAGATATCGAATCGATTTATTTCCCAAGAGGCATTCGGAAACTTCGGCCATCTCTGCGGTGAACTTGGAATAGCTATTTCCCTCTCTTTCTCTCTTTCTTTCATTCCTCTATCTATCTCGCTTTTGCAGTGCACTTTGGGGTCCCCGAGATCTTGGACTTGCCATAGAGCGTGAAATGTTCATTGGGTGACATTCGTTTCGCTAAACTTTTATCGCCACGTTTTGTCTAAATCTTCTAAATCGACCGTTAAAGAAACATAGAGATACTCGAACGAGATAAATTTATGCGTCCGGATTGATAAATCAAAAATTTATTTATATATTTGAATATTTAATGATTTTTTTAGAAATTATAATGTAATATATTTTGTAAATAACTATGTATATTCTATATGTATATTCTTAATAATAACTGTATGTGTATTCATTGTTATTAGACCTAATAAAAATAATATTAATAGTAACATTATGTATAAGCTGCAGTTAACAATTGACATTAACTCAGTTCATCGGAAAATTCAGTTTAGACGTAACAATCAAACGTTTTAAAAGCGTCTTTCAGTCAGGAAATTCGATGTAATCGAGCAATAGATAGACAGTTTAATTATACGGATAAATGGATAGATAAATGGAGAGTTAGTTTCATTAGATAGATAAATGATATGTGGGTAGATTTATACCTAGTTAGATCAATTATCGAAGAGATTCCGATATAATGCTATCAGAACGATTGCTTCTCACAAATGTGATTAAAATCACGTCCAATTAAGAAAAGTGGACGGAAAAGTCGATAACCGACGGAAAGACTAAGCGATTGAATGAATGGTATCATTTTCATGAAAGTTATATTTTCTCCTTACATGTTAATACGACTTAAAAAATCATCAGAGTAATAAATAATATAAAAAATTCTAATCGTGTATTCTTTGCAGACTAACATTTTATGTTGCTATACTTAAACAATTTTATGTAAAATGCTTACAAAATTATCACTGTTAGAATATTTTTGAAATATATTGGAATGTAAGGGACGATTAGTACTTTCAAGTCTGTAATTGAATAAGATGGAGATTTAAAAAAAGATATTTTTTATCAATCAGAAGTAAATCAATCGTATCTTCTCAAAATTAACGCTCCATGAAACTTGAACTTAACTGTACTTATCTGGATTCTCCCGTATACATATGTATAGTAATATGAACGGGTTACTAGGACGTGTACATTAAGTCTTCGAGAGGAACTACTCGGGAGAATAGTTTAAGTGCCTTTCTAGAGAAAGCTCATCAAGACGCTCGTCAAATAATTAATGCTCTCTTCCCCAGAGAAATAGAGCACTTTAAGATTCACTTCGACGCGTCTTCAAAGAACGCGACTTGCCAATATTCGCAAAAGAATTTTCGCAATGTTAATTATTATCGAATCCTAATTTTTTAAACGCACTAAAATATAGTACAAAACATCATCAGCTATATTTTATTAAATTGATTATCGTTAAAGAAATATAATATCAAAACCATTATAAAAATATTAATTTCATAAAAATTAAATAAGAATTTAAATGAAAGGATTAAAAAAAATTATTGTCTAATAGTACGTTTTAATATACTTTATTGAGATTTACGAATTTTATTTTAAACAAACTCAATAACAAATTTTTAAAGAGATATAATGAAGCGTAATTAATAATAAGCAAATTGAATTTTCTGTATCGCAAAATAAAATTGTGATGGCAAACTATCTAACCTTATTCGGGTATCCATTGTATCTGAGAAGCTTCTTGCAACACTTGCCACGGTTCTCATAGTAGAACATCTGCACCATGTCCGCGCGATCGGTCGCGCCGCTGACGGTGAACGGCGCCCTGGACGACGACGGCGGTTGTTGTTGCTGTTGCTGTTGCTGCTGGGTCGGCGATTGCCGACGCCCCAGTGGCACGCACGGGCACCACCCCGAGACCATCACACCGATCGGGCCCGTCGCCGGCCCGATTAGCCCGACCCAAAGCTTCGAATTCTCTTCGCTTCTTCGTTTCTTCGAAGATCACTTCGTCCTGTTGAAGACAAGTCTCTTCATTGTGTCCCTCTTCACCTCCTCGCGAAGTAAACTCCTCTGTACTTTCAATCTCACGAGATCCTTACGGAAATCTCGTTAGAAATCTGATAATTTTAATGATGAAGTTGCGTTGTGGCTTTGTTAGCGCATTCTAAAGCTTTTTTAAGAGGAACAAATTTGAAGCGATGACGGCAGTAGTTGTTATGTGGAGGAATTTGGCAACGAGTCTTGTACTACTTGTCGGTGCGTTTGGCAGCAAGCACCCTAGAAACCTGAAAAAAAAAACATAATTAAAAATAACTGTACTAAATAATCTAGCGAATGGATTTATTCTTCTTAATCGTACATTGCTATTTCTGTCTTTAAACCTAACATATATATTTGTTTTATTTTGAACACAAAAATGTAACAAACTGTAGGTAAACAGCAGAAAAGTATTAATTGTCAGTCAGAATTTTGAAGATTAAACGGACTTCGCGTTTGTGCTATATATTATTGTTTTCCATAAGAAAGCAACTAACATTTATTTAACACGTCTTCGAAATTGAAAGCGCTACCTTTTACTACGAACGAAGCATTCATGAAACACAGCAAAGCTTAATTCTGAAGTGGGTCAATTAAACCCGAATTCTCTCGCGAATATTGGGACGAAATTGCGGAACGTGGCGGACGTCAAGGAAGGAGCGAATCCTGCCAGACTATCTGTGTGGAGCTGTCGTTCGTTCTACCACGAATGTCGTTCGTGCTTTTCAGACTTTCGAAGAAATCTGTCCGATTAAATTCGAGTGCATGTCGTTGCGAATTACGGTCGGATCCATTACCGCACCAAAAAAGCGTGCTCTCCGTAAATCAACGGCCGTTAGATTTGCCGTTCGATCTCGTGACTTAAATTAACGACTACTGCAAAAAGCGCGGCAGGTTGATAAATTGGTAGATAGATGGATAGACACTGTAGATGGATGAATTTCCTTCTGCCATAGATTCTCTAAGAATTCCCTAAGGACGACCTGAGATAAATAGATATAATTTATTTAGATCTTAAGGAGCGGGTCCCGTAAGATACGAGAACAGGAAACTAGAACGAGATACTTAAGATTGGTGATAGCATTCGCAAATAAATATATTTTGTATTGCAATTAATTTCTATCTTTTAAAAAAGTAATATTGAAAAATAATTACGATAAATATAGTAACATATATAACGTCATTAACTTTAAATAAATAATGCATTTATAATGCATCTAGAATTCTTTTCGGAAGAAGTACAAAAAGATCCAATTGTTGCTATTAGTAGAAAGAAAAGCAATCTTTTAATTAAAATAATAAATTACATTAATGCAATATTTTAATGATATGTCATATATGTAATGGTATGCCAATCATTCGACTCGCGGAGCCATTCGAGAAACTGTCAGTGGAGACGTACGTTTTATTTCCTGACAAAACAAAACGAATGCAATGCAAACTGACTAAAGTAGACGATAGAGCGGGGGGATGAGAGGAAGAGGAGTTGGTGAAGCCGTAAAGATGAGAAAAACAACATAGGAATTTGCAATTCATGAGAAACGTCGTCGTCGTCGTCGTCGTCGTCGTCGGCCGTGCGTTAGTCACAGAATGCGCGACCTAATTTAAGAATGGAAAATTTGCGCCGTGTCTCCTCTACTCTTGGGTAATAAACGCGTCGCATACTGTGCAAACATCATTCGACTTACAGAAAATAGCGAGAAGAATTTCCACCTTCCTTCAACAAAAGATCAACAATAGTTCCATCAAAGAATTCGCCTTCCTCATTTTAGCGGAATTTGAATCGAAAAATGTGCACTGTTTTCTTGATATTATATAGATAGATGTTATATAGATAGATTTTCATTACTTTTACAAGCATATAAAAATTATTAAATCTTATACTTTAACATCTTTAGAAAGGTATTTATAAAGTTGTGTATTAAAAAAAGAATGGAAAGAAAATAGAGATTATTTAATCAAGTGTTCCTGATATTTCAAAGAAAGAAAATGCGTAGGATACAAATGACCCAGTCGTATGTACTAAGGATTAAGCTTGACATAAAAATAGTCTTAGGAATCAAAGGTAAAAATGAGAGAAATACAAAATAAAATATTCATTAGAAGAAAATGTGCTCGGCGAAAGAATCCAGTGAAGAAAAATGCGAGTACAGCGATGTCTCTGAATCACCCCGTAAAGTCTGCAGTTGCATTAAGTCCGGAAGATTAATCGAGCCATGATTTATATGTATTTCCGGCGAAGGTGCGAAGACGCCCCTTTCGCGTTCTCTAAGACAAAGCCGAACGCACAGACTCATTCGTGCTTTCCGCACTTTCCTCGAATTTTGGATCTAATTTCTGTCCGACCTCGTAATACGGGTCGCCGAGGTGCCTAGAGGACACGCGATAAGTTTGCTTTACGATTGTGCCAGGTGACGTTGAGTCGAGCCCCGTTTAATAAAGCGCAGGTCGTGAGTCACCCAAGAGCTGCCTCCCGCAGAGATTTTCAGGTCACCCGGTACACATCGTAAAGAGACGTAATAGGTTAAACGTGCGGGATAAGCGAAACGAACGAGGTTAAACGTGGAAATGGAAATTTTCCGGTTACGTCAGTATCAATTGGCATTAAATACAATTAATTTCGTTCACTCTTTATTTGATCTTTTTATATGTATTGTATATCTGAAAAAAAGATTGCAAAATTTGAAATAGTACATATACTGTGGATCGATATTTTCGACAGACTCGTTACCAGTATCAACCTCATCAACGAGATGAACAAGAGGTCGGTGGATTTTTCGAATTCACGAGAGAGGTGTTGAAACATTAACTAGTATTGGTCGGAGTGTGGGAAACTTCAGGTGATAAACATTTTATGGCTCCCGGTGGATGAAGCGGAAACGAGCTTCTATATTCATGAAAATCTGCGGATCTCGCGTCATAAGATTTAAATTAATCTATTGGACAAACATTTATCATAAAAACGTGCAACATGCATTCTCGTGAGAGAATTTTCATAGAATTAAACAAGAAATACGAGTTCATGTAGAATGACATTCGACGGATGTAGGTATACGAGAGTGCGTTTCTTTGTAACTTTTGACTTCGCGCTTCTCTTCATCCTCCTCTCTTTCTCTCTTTTTCTTTCTCTCCGGGCCCATTCGTCCGTTGATGTAACAATTTTTCACCGTGACATTCCCGGCTTAGAGCTATCCCTCGAGAGTTTAACCTGCTCTCGTTTCTCGTTCCTGGCCGAGTGGTCATAGATTACTCACTAAAGCATAGTGTAATCCCAAGTTCTCGTTATTCTGACATAACGTGCTATGCAAAATGTGGCAGATCGTGCAGCGAGACATGAGCGATGGGTTATTTTGATATCTTAATATACCTTTACAACAGTTATATATTTCTGATAGTAACATGAACTATCACTGTTACTATGGCTTTTACTGTGAATAATAACTACTGAGAATTAATTATTATGTCGCTGAGATTGTTTTTCACGTGTGCGAAGAAAACAAAATCTAAGTGAAGCAACAGTTGTCGTGTCAAACTTAATTACGTACCTACTTAATTTTTTTTAACATTTTCCAAGTTTTTTGTCTTTCGGTGTCTATTCTCTGACGCAATTTTTTTCTTTCGGTGATACTTCCATATCTATTCGAGTGTTAAAAGAGTTAATATCGATCGCTCTCACAGACGAAGTATTCTGTTCTACCGTGAACTAGTTCAATTGAATAAGTTCAGAGCAATTCCTTGTTGCTGTCGTTGCCGTCACTGTGAATTTTCCCTGCGATCCGCAACTTTTCGGGGCTGGCTGACTAGTTCGGGCGCGGATTTCTGCACGAACGAGCTAAATCGACTCGACCGGTCTCGCCGGAATTGCTTCGTTCGGAGTCTCGCGGAACCGCTAGTAAAATCCACGACGACAGCATCGATTTTTCGATGGCAGGTCGGAGAGAGTTTAATTAAATCGCGGCGCGGAACTTGTGGACGAGAGGTGACATCGAAGGAACGTAAAACCCGTAAAAACGTAGATTAACCTCTTCAGCATTGACACAGGACACATCGTAGAAATCGATCTTTGATGCGATTCTCGCGAAAAAATTCGTAGAATTCACTATATATTATCAAATAATGAACGTTTTAAGTTATTGAGACAATTTGACAGTGACAGTGTTAAGTAACGAAAATACAGATACAAATATTGAAAATACTAAATAATAAAATATTAATATACAGAGAAAACACTGAAGTATCTAAAAATTTAACTAAATACAGATCTGAAAGTAATTTTGTTAGATCATTAAAATAGTTTATGTAAAATACTCTTAAAGTAACTTAAACAACGCTACAAAAAGTTTTAATATTTTAACAACCAGTTGAAGTGTCCTACATAACTATTTTGATAGTGTAAACAAAATTATTTTCAGATCCGTATCTAATAGCTAAATTGTTAGATATTTTAGCAAAACCACATTCTTTCCATGTAGCAAAAATTTAATACGTTAAATAAAGTAAATATTCCAGTTAGTGGACAGTTAATGAACAACCAATTCATTGGACAAAGTGATACAAAATTTTGAAATATTAAGTTTTTAACGATATGTACAGTTCTACATAAATTTGTTATTTATAAAAATTTAATAACGAATTTATTCAGAATCGTACTTGTCATTAAAAGCTTAATATTTGAAATGTTTTATCACTTTGTCCAATAATTGATTCATGTCTATTAATTTATATTTACCTTACATTTTTAGAAAGATGAACCTGTAATAAATTTAAATTATCAAAAAAGACATTTATGTAGAAAAGATTATTTTAGAAAATTCTCTTTGTAAATGTGCTTTGGAATTAAAGTGATATATTACAGTGAACATACTTAATTTGATATAATCTTGAAAAATGAAAAATGCGTTAATAGAATTGAAATACCGACATCGCGGACGTAAACATTGAAAATGACAAAGTATCGCGATTTTTAATCGCTTGACAGCTCGATAAATTGCAACTAACAAGGGTAAATTCTGGGTTCTCCATATTTAATTCCGGAATTATAGTGGTGGTGACACGTCGCGCGAGAAATAAAAGGGCGAAAAAACGGGGCAAGTTATGACGTTCGCGCGTCGTATGAGTTTTCGCGTAAAAGTTCACCGGAACATTTCGCAAGTGTGGCTCGTTGTTACAAACGCGCTTTTTCCGCGCACGTTTATACGGTATGGAAAGTGCGCTCGTTAAATTTCGTTGCTCCGGATGGGGACGCGTGTTCCCTTTTGTAAGTTCGACGAGTAGTTTTGTAACAAGCCGTGCCGTCGTGAGTGCAGTCACGTGCGTGCAAGCTCGTTTCCGGACTTTATAAAACTCCCGCGATAATTATCGTGGCAAATAAACAGTCGCCAGTCGGCATGCCCGACGTACGGAAGTTAACGTAAACTCGCGAGAGACAATCGCACATGTGCACTTGTGTTTAAGCGACAGCAGGGAGCGAACGAGCACGTGCGCACGGAAAGCGCTACGAGAACTTTAATAAGCTAGGTTTTCTCCGAATGGAGAAGAAATTAAATAAAAAAACCGAGGAAGTGTAAATAAATACTCCCGAAATTAAAATTTCAAAAATTCATCAATGCAAATAGCGTTAATTGAACTAATGTCAGCTTCGTTAACGAAGCACTTCAAGATTAAGGTACTACACAAAATTTCTGATTGAAAATGGACAAATCAGAATTTTCTGGTTACATCTATTATATAGAATTCTAGTTGAGATAACTGGAATTCTGATTGATACAATATTTCTGATAAAATATCTACTAGAATTCTTATTTTTACCAGAATAATTACATCAATCAGAATTCTAGTTATCTTAACTAAAATTCTAGTAGATTTAACAAGAAAATTTTGACTCGTCCATTTCCACCAGAATTATTATTTAATCCAACTAGACCATTTTTTTTCAGTACAGTGTAGTTTTTTTCAATACTCGATCAATGAGGTTAAGTCATTAGTTTTATAATTGAGGACTGGAATAACATCGATCAATGTTAATTATAATTCGCTAAACGCGCGGAAAGTTTATGGAAAAAATTTCACTCGTCGATACGCATTTCCCTTGGCCTCGCCACGAGTAATAAAGGCGCTTAACGGAGCCGTACGTATCATATGCACCTGCAACATCCCCGGCCGACAGTTTGATGTATGGGACCGCGGCGATGCGCACGCGGGCGACACGAGCAAAAAGTCTCTCCGCGCCGTAATCCCTCTTCGTTCCCCGGGAAATCTCATTACGGAAAAGTTTGAGGCAAGGCTCTCCGCGTCGCGTCGTGTCGCATCGCATCGTGTTGCACGAGGTGGATGGAGAATCACCCTCTAACGTACAGGAGTTGTTTAGGAGTGCGTGGAAATAGCGAATGCGGAGAAGGAGAAAATGAGAGAGAATATTCTTGTAACCATTGTCGGGCAGACAACTTCCGCGATATCTCTTCAACGAGATACCACGGTGAATTTAAACTTGTTGCGACCCTTACAGCAACGAGACTCTTGCCTTATTAAATTTAAAATTCTTCTGGATTGATAGTATGATTCATTCATAAATTTTTTTCAGGATAATAATAAGCGACTTTCCTCTTAAGACTTTTGTGTAATCTTCTACCATGTCGGAGATAACTTTTCGTGATATTTTGGAGACATTGGTACATTTAAACTTCTTGCGCCCTTAAATAATTACACGATCGAAATTCTTTTTTCTTTTTTGAAAAAGTTAGCATATAAATCTAAAATATTTAAATTGTGTGTGAAAATGTTATTTATTCATGAATAATTTGCTTACTCGATGATAAGAAAATTAATGTATCGAAAATTAATTTTAAAATTTATAAGAGAGGATAAAATACATTTTTCTGTAAATTTTCAAATTGTATAAACGATTGAGGTCGCATAGTGTATTCAATCAAATATATAAAACATTCATGCACTATAGCGCAATAGTGTTTTGTATGTTTAATTGAACATACTATGCGACCTCACAGTCTTTTATACAATTTAAAAATTTCTGTTAACCTATCCAAATTATCCCGATTTACTTCACAAATAATTTTTATAAACATCTCTAAAAAAAATTACTGAAGATAATGTGTGATGTATACACAAATGATCTGAAATTTGTATCATTTTAGTTTCATGAGATAAAAATTTGCAAATTCTAACATAAAAATATTTTTCTTGTAATGTTAGAGTTTTTATTTCTAAGAGAATGTTCAAAATTAATTGTTAATGATGCATCCAATTTGGATAATTCAAAGAAGTTCTTAAACTGATTGTATATATAATATCGCCTAGCGATACTTTTATCTTTTAACTCAAATAATAAAATTAACAATAAAATTCCCCGGAAACGCACCTTCGTTGAGCTGATTCTTCGATCAAATTCAAAATCGTTGAATCCAAAAGTGAGCGTCCTCCGTTACTCCGGTTTGTATTGAAGCTGCTTCAACTTTGAAGGCAGGAAAGCCGACTGGCGCACACTACGTGTAACTAGGGCCGCCGGATATTACATCCCGAATTTCCGGCGGTCTTAATCTTCCTTCCACGCTCTCGAAACATCCTCCCTTCCATCTATCTTAGAAAGGATCGCAAAACATCTGTCGAAGGAGCAGGAGAAGAACTATCAGATGACTGACGCGAGTAGGACGATAAGAGACAATAAGAGAAAGAGAAAGAGAGACAAAAAAGGAGAATGATGAAGGGAACGAAGAGACTCTGTTATCCGATAGAATTGGCCGTTCCTTCAGGACGAGTTTGAACGATAAGAGGAAGGAGGGAAGCCGCGCACACTACACCGGGTGGACGTAGGTCGCGTGTTTCAGTCGACGTGCGGACGCGGACTAAAGCTCTCGACGGACGAACGGGTGCTCGTCGTCGCGTCGCGTCGGCTCGCGCGACGGCGAGAAGCGGCGGCGCTTCCTCTTCCCTCGTGGTCGTCGCCCGTACGGCGCAGGGCTGACTGAGGGAGGCCGTGGCGCCGAGCGTCGCGACGCATCGCACCGCGCCGCACCGCGCCGCTGGAGCCAAACCTCGGACCTGCGTTCGTTCGTGTGTACCCGAGCCGTGCTGATCTTACACTCTCTCATCGAAAAATTTTCGTTTGTGAAGAGTAATCATTTTGTTAAAGAAAAACTCGTGAGTGTCCTAGAAGATTAAGATTTAAAATCATGTCAATATTACAACCGAGTAAAAAACATTCAACGAGTATTTCATAGTCAATTCATAAGAAGCACGTTTGAATTTTTAAATCAATTATTTGCAAATGCATATTTTGCAAAATTAAAAAGAAAATAATCGTAATGGTTCTGATGGTTATTTGATATTGCAAGTGTTTAATATTATGTTTCAAAACGTATGAGACACTTTATGTAATGAAAATATAAATAAAAAATGGGTTTACACATTGCAGATATTTTTGTTCGGTTATGTAAAAAATAATTATTTTAGTTTTTATGAGAACGTAATATAATATTATCTCTGTCTCTATTTTTAATTAAATTTTTAATCAATTTTATTGCATTATTATACCAGCTTCTAATAATTAACTGTTATATAGTGACAAATTATAAAGAGATTGCCGGTTTCAGCTTGTAATTATTCGCCGCTGATTTTATCAATTTAGTATTACGTTTTAATATTAATTTTGTATAATCGAAATCGTTCCCAATGGTTCATATAAAAGACAAATATAACATTTCTGATAATGCAAATATATATTTTAGAAATTTTTCTGTAATTTTTTGAATCTATGGTTTTTTAATATTAAAAGTAGATAGTATACATATATTTTATATTTTCAATTATGTTATTAATTTATTCGATATTACTTTTATATTATTAATTATATTTTTAATTAAACTCTTAAATTGCATTTTTCTCTGTGGATCTCTTGAAAGAGAGACGGAGAGAGAGAAAATTTGAGGAGAAATGAGCAAACAGACTTTTTAAAATCTCTATATCCGAAATCTACGCTCTTATGAACAGAAATTAATTAGAAAGAAAAATTACTGTGAAATAATATGAAAAGAATGGACGAACGCGAGCATCTAATTTAAAATCCCATTTACCTACCGTTATTATAACGTCGTATAACTACCACCCGCCGTCGCATTAACTACCGTATCATACTTCATGGTAAGAATGACAATTCACGAGATCTCCTGCAGGATCACGAGGCTGCAATTGCCAAGATACCAGCTACAATTCGCGTGGCTCGAAAGGTATATTAATAAGCGGTACCCAGGACAGGAAGCAGCATCTTCTTCTCCACTTTCCTTTCCACTCTTTGTGCTTCTATCTCACCACCGCTTTTTCCCCGTTCCACCCTCTGTATACCGTGTACGCGCGTATATACGTGTCTTGACAGTATTCTTCTCCGGGACCCAGAATATCACTATTCCTCTCGCTTCCTCAATTCTCTCCGACGTTTCTCTTATTTTCTGGAAAGGAAAACGAGCACGAGAGTTGGGCACTCCGTGTCGGCAAGCATCGTCTCTACGAGTCACTTCTTTGATATCTATCTATCGTTTGTTCGTCTCTTTCACTTTTTTGTCTCTTTTTCTTTCTCTTTCATTCGTAGCGTTACTCTCGTTTATACCTTATATTTTGCTCTTGGGTGCTCGACGTTAAAACGGACGTCTAACTTCGAGTCGCCGAGATGTCGGAAAACACGTCCGGCCATTTTTACGTCCATCACGATCTCATAACCCATTTGAAATATCAAACGTATCTGGAAACGACGTCGCTCTATATTTCCCCCATGAAGCGCAAAAATTTCCTTATAAAGAGTGGAAATAAAAAGTAGGAGAAATTTTGACATGACACAAAATGATGAGACTTTCTTGTTTCCGATCGTAAATCGTATCGAATGGGAACAGAGGCTTTGAACGAAAAATAGAGTGCATAGTAAGGCGGAAACTTTCTACTTTATTTTTTCTATCATATTTCTTCTGGTAGTGACGATTTTTGTATTATCGGCACGGTGGTATGATATGAATGCTCTGTCGATTAATCGCAGGAAATCTTGGCTGACAACAATTATTGGCATTATATTGCTTGTGACATGGACGCATTTCGATCCCTGGTGGTTTGTTCCGATCGCTGGACACATGTATCTCTTATGCACGGAAACACGATACGTGAGCCGCGTAGAGATGCCAAGGGGCTTTCGAAGTAACCGGAAGAATGAATATTTCACGAGGTGGGTCATGAGGCGCGAGTATCTCATTTTTTCGCGACCGCGAGACGCGAACTGGAACGATCGGACCATTTGTTTTAAGAATTGATCATTCTTTGCCGGTCATCGACATCCCGGAGAAGGACTCTACGACGAGTGATGTATTCCATGATGGAATACGTGAAACTTCCGCATCACAAGAAGTCAGTTGTTTAATGTATCGAACGTGGAAAGTTGGGAAAGAAAAGTAAGATAACAAATTACTAATTTTTTCTAAGCTCATAACAGATGACGAATTGAATTCATTAAAGGCTTTAGATAATAATAAATCATCTTTTGTAGTTTGATTCAATATATCTACAAAAATAAATGATACAGTAAGAAATATGTTTTATAATTTTTTAATTTATGAGAAATGACAATTATAATATAGCTATAAAGAACGTATCAAATATAATATACTATTTTTCATTTTTTGTATTGTAACATTTTTATTAAATGAATAAATAAGTACAATGATTGCGGGTAAGATGACTTTCAGTGGTGTACAAGATGACGAGATATTTGTTAATGTAGGTTGTATTTGTCAATAATAAATAGCTACGTTAATTTGTTCTTCAGTATTGGTTATTTATGTAAGTAAATCACGTGCAATTTACTAATCTTTTTTGTTTTTTGTTTTTTATTTTTCTTTAATTGTGTTCTTATATCATAATAATATCAAAATAATATAAGAAGTCTTTATTATAATAAAATTAATCTTTTTAATCTTTTTAAATTTAAATAAAAAAGTACATTTTTAACTTAACTTTGTAATCTTATCTACTATTGAAAATCATCTTACTCGCATAAGGGCAAAATGACGAAATTAACATGTCCTTAAAAAATATAAATTTCAATTTATTTAATAGTTTTTAATTTTTATAAATAATGACCAAATTTTTATAAATGATGATGGCTTTAGTGAATCTGAAAAAAATACATCTCTTTTTACATCATCAGAAGTTAAAACAAGTCGGCAAGGAGATCTTCACCCTCCATTTCCTTACCCATAGACGTAATAAGAATAGACTATACATTTCTATGAAATTGTCATTTCGGTTTAGAAAGAATGAGGTAGCTTGAATCATATCACTCTTTCTCTCTTTCTTTATAAAATATTAAATTGAAGAGAAAGATGCTAATATAATTCTTTCTTAACGGAGCATAGATGCTAAAATCAGGGAATGTGCAGTCTATATTTATTACGTCTAGAGTTGTACGCATCTCTCTTCATTTTTTTTTAAAGTCAATCTTGCATTTTCGAGTTATGGCATTAATTAGTTACTGCAGCAAATATATTATAACAAACTAAGATTAGCTGCATCAGAGAAAATCTTTTTTTCTGTGCTCGATTCTAATGCGGGCGAGATCCTTGCGTACTTTCGTCTTTGTATCACGAACCCGTGAATCGGATTAGGGTGAATTCGAGAAAGATTTGAGAGACGATAATGTTGGGAGCCGACACAGAAGCGGAAGCTAGACCGGATATAGAGCTCCGAGGAGGGCCGTCGTGCACGTGCACGCACGCACGTCGACTCGTACATATAGGTCACACAGTGCCACGCAGTTTCATGCCCTTCATCCTCTTTGTCCGCTTTTATTCTTGTTCCCTGTGATACGAAGTGAATTAGAGTGTCCGGAGCAAGTACTCGAATTGCATTTCCAGCAATACCGGGAGATCGCTATCATTGCTGTTCAAAAGTTACTGTCGATTTGTGCGCGCATTGCGGTTGAGAAAGTAAACTAAAGTATATATATTGTTAGGATGATATCTCGACGACAATCTGTTGTCCTATTCAACCAGTAGTAGCCACATTGAACTTCGATACACTTATTCCGCAAACGAATAGTGTTCACCGAGATTTGATCTTCCATTATATGTTTCTGTGAATTTTATCTTAAAAAATTTATCTTTTTTTTATAATTAATCGGATTTTAGCGCGTCTTCCGTTCCTATGGGACAATTTCATTCCTGAAGAATACATAGAAATATTAATCTATTTTAATTGTCTCTATCTACATATTTGAAAAAAGAGAGACGCGAATAACGATAATTTAATTAAATAAATGTTTATTGAACTTAATCAGCATATCGTTAATTAACATTAATGTGGCTTTACATGTAATATTAGAAGATGGAAGTACAGCGAGTGCGCAGAAGCAAATAGACCACGATGTAATATTGATCGTTAGTTAACGGTGTAAACATTTATAATGATTATCATAACAACTACGAAAGAGTAACATATTGTGAGATTAATAATAACTGATCATTTAATCAACAACAAGTGATGTGAAAAGGAAGTGTATGCTAATTGTCCATCATTGCAGTCTGCCGATAATTTATTATACTAACGTCTCGTCGATAATATTTATTATTTAAAAAATTTTTATTACACGATGGAATAATAATAATAATAATTTACGTGAAAATTAATAAAATGACCAAAATATTTTTATAATAATGTACGTACATTCATATTTCGTTAATCAATCACTACCAATGGAA